CAGTCAAAAAATGTGTAGACAAACAGGAGAGCGCATTGAAAACGAGAACAGGAATGTCGACAGGTCTACAAACGACGGAGCATGCAACAGCATTAATGATGACACGCTGAAACTCAGCACCATTATTACGACGACGGTACTCAACTCTCTCAGCAAACTCGTGTCTCACAGCTCAAGGTCCTTGAACGCGACAGTGGTTCCCAAAAACTCTGTAGGTGATTGGACCCACGTCAAAAGAGCTAGAAAGGACAAGGCATCACAGTCTAAGTTGAACATCTCAGCTGTTGAACGGAAGTCAACTGGTGATCTGGTCGCATAGTCTACCCCCAAGAATGTCCGTCCGATCACCAAAGAGCCAAGGATTCAGAAACGTGCTTCGACCCCTAAACAACAAGGTGCTAAACCAGAACGCACCGAAAAACCTGGGACGACAATAACGGTTCGTGATGACTCTCTCATAGTCATGAACTTTAAAGACAGCCCTGACCTTCCTCTCAGTTTGCAGGACAAAAATGATAGGATGCTCTGGGGAGAATTGAAAGAGAAACTTGAACTTCCAAGAATAGAGCCTTTGACAGTCACACGGCTCACTCGGGGAAAGGAATCTAAGCATCAAAATCACCTGAGGCTACTTCGTGGAACACTTAAGAATGCTACCGTTGTAGAGGATGTCTTACTAGCGAGTCATTTACTGAAATCAGATGGGAATGTAAGAATACTGCCTGACATACCGTATTCTGAGAGCACTCTCATCCGGAAGATCCCCAAAGAAACTCGCGATCGGTTTTTCCGCGGAAGGAATATAATCGTGCAAGGTATACCGGAAAATACGGACCCTACTCAATCAAAAACTGACATCAGGGAATGCAAATTCATCAAACAGTCCTTGAGGCTCAAAAACCTACTGACTCAGCATGTGACGAGACTAGCCAAGAAGGATGGTGATTCTAGACCCCGTCTAATGAAGATAACCTTCCCACCTTCCCATGCGGCGGCCGCAACTCTGGAAGCATTTCGTGCCAACAGACGTCGACTGCCACCTGGAATCCACATGCACCCGGATAGGCCATATGAAGCTAGGACCAAACACAAAGGCAAGTTGTAGCTTGTCATTCCATTTGTGGACTGTCTAGACGATAAAAAAAACGTGCAAAGGACAGGGTCTACCACCTCGGCAAACCTTATATAGGTGGGCTCCTGTCCATTCACGTAAGGCCCATACAGACAAATAGGACGAAGCTCACGCGTTCCAAATTGAAAGCATAAACCGCTTATATATGAACGCCGCGAGTCTACCAAACAAACTGGATGAATTACGTGAACTTAGCAACGCTAATAAGGCCCATGTGATAGGAATATCTGAAACCTGGATATCTTCTCAGTTCTCGGACCATGAACTAGCATTACCTGGGATGTCTTTGTTCCGCAACGACAGAAAATCAGGAATTGGGAGCGGAGTCGCCGTTTACATGCGTTCTTGCTTGGAGGTGCACCAAGGTCATAACCTCGAGTTTAACAATCTTGAGGAATCCATATGGTGCTCTGTAAGATTGTCCAGTACTTCGAGGTGTCTAGTCGGAGTCATTTACAGAAAGCCAATCGCCGACATCGAGTACGATAGTCGTATGCTGGAAAGACTATCCAGCTCTACTCGTCTTGGTTTCACATACATCCTGATTCTAGGGGACTTTAATCTCCCTAGAGTCAACTTCGCGGAACACACGTATACTGGAGACGACAACTCAATTGAGGCTCGGTTCTTCAACCTCATCGACGACTTGGGATTATACGAAAATGTGAGATCGGCAACTCGTTGGAGAAACAGTCAGACACCTTCGCGCTTAAGCTGTGTATTCACTAACGAAGAATTCCTAGTCGACAACCTCTCAATCCTGGCTCCCCTGGGAAAAAGCGATCATACCGTCATAGCCTTCAGTTTTATCAGCAAAACTAAGCTAAGATACCCAACCAGTAACTTGCGTTGGAATTTTAAACGGTTGAATGTGCCAGCTCTACACGACTATCTACAACAGGTGGTTTGGGATGTTCACCCTCAACTCGATGTGGACGGTCATTGGGACTTCTTACTGCACATGCTCCTATGTGCTATAAACCATTCAGTTCCTCAAACGGTTCCCAAAGGCTGCAAGCCACCTACAGTAATCAAGAACCATACCCTTCGCCTGCTAAGCCGCAAAAGGCACTGTTGGGCAGAATACAAACGAACTGACGACGACGGAGCGTATAGGCAATATAAACATATCAGGAACATATGCAAGAAGGCTATAAGAGAAGATAGGCTTCAGTACCAGACAAAGCTTACGGACAAATTTGCCTCTAATCCTAAAAGCTTATTCTGTTAGGCAGCCTCTCTTCGTCAAGTCAAAACTGGAGTTTCCCAACTGGTGGTCTTAACGGCCCGACCAACAACGATGGCGACGCCGCTAACCTTCTGGCTGTACATAACTCCCAGATATTTCAACCGACCGACATCAACTTTACTGATGAAAGTTCCATCTGCAATTCCACAGGACTTTCCGAAGTGAACCTAAGCGCTGACTTGGTGTTCCGGAAACTGCAGCACTTAAGATTGGACACTTCTCCCGGCCTGGACATGGTCCATTCCGCCATACTGAGGGAAGCAGCCTCAATCCTGGCAACGCCACTTAGCGTAATGTTCTCACACTCGCTAAGTCGAGGAAAACTGCCGGCAAATTGGAGGCTGGCTCACATCACACCATTTTTCAAAGAGGGTCGACGCAGCGAACCTTCAAGTTACCGACCGGTGGCTCTTCTCTCAAAACCTTCAAAACTCATGGAGTCCCTGATATGCGATGGTATAAATGACTATTTACTGTCCTGAAATTTCTTCTCACCCCAACAGCATGGTTTCAGGAATGGCTACTCTTGTATAACCAACCAGCTGACTGCAGTGGACAGATGGACAAGCATCGTTGATCACAAGGGGAAGGTTGATATCATCTACCTAGATTTCTCAATATGTTTTGATAGGGTTCACCATATATGTCTTATCAACAAGCTCAAACGATTAGGTATCAGACCACCTCTAATCGATTGGCCCACTTCATATCTGAAAAATCGACATTTTATTATTATTATTATTAATAGCTTTATTCAATATTATATTATTGGTACAATATAGAATTCTCAGCACAAAGTATTTCAACAAGTTTCCGTTTCTTTCTTCTTGGTCGGTCCTCGCGATAAATACTGAGTGGTCGCCAGCTAGATGTTATCAGTCCAGTAAATGAACATGGGAATTATGTACATTCTTTTCGTTGTACATTGCCAGCAACCATATTCTCTCTTTTTGAGCTTTTTGTAACTTTAATAACGAAAGGTTGTACATTTTTCAGAAACGCAGCAGTATAGGTTGTGCGATTAATAGACATAATGATATATTAAAACAAACAAAGATAGATAACTTGTTGAAATATCTAGATGGCAGGAACAGGTAGCCCAGATGCTCAAGCAGGCCGCCGATGATTCAGGTCAGGGTTAATTTCACTTTATCTCAGGCTATGGAATGTCCTAGTGGAGTCCACCAGGGCTCAGTACTAGGACCTTTTCTCTTCTTGGTCTACATAAATTATCTTCCTCAACAGGTAACGTTAGACTTATTACATTTTGCCGACGACGTGAAACTTTGGAGAGAGATACGCAACCAAGACGGTATACAGGCACTTCAGGAGGATCTGACTCGACTTCAGAGTTGGGCAGACGACAACGGACTTACCTTTAACACCTCAAAGTGTAAAGTATTCCGTCTGCGACATGTCGCAGACTACAGTTATAACTTAGGTCACTCCTGTCTAGTAGTATCCCAAGTCGAAAAAGATTTAGGAGTCCTGGTGCCCTACGATTTAAAGTCTTATGCTAACCGTGACAAAAATGCTTTCCGAGCAAACCTTGCACTGGTAACATTGAGGCACATTTTTGGCCAGTTTGACGGAAGAACTTTCCATATAATCTTCAATGGTCTTATCCGTCCCCATTTAGAGTACGGAAACATAGTATTTCTCCTTCACTCCAAAAGGATAAGGACACTCTGGAGGGTATCCAGCGGCGAGCCACGAAATCAGTTCGAGGACTCAATTTTAAACCTTACGAAGAGCGCCTCCATTCACTTAACCTTTACCCATTACAGTATAGACGTCTTGGAGATGACCTTCTGATGGCTTACAGTATCCTTAACGGTTCTGGACATCCTCTCAAACACCTACTTAAGCTTAGTTCCAACACTAACCTAAGAGGTAACACCCAAAAACTGGAGACACAACATAGCAGAACGGACTGTAGACACAACTTCTACTCCTTAAGAGTTGTCAAATTCTGGAATTCGCTGCCGGCTGAGCAAGTTCAAGCGATTTCTCAGGAGTCTTTTATGAGGCAACTTGATATATTTTTAAGGTCTAAAGATAGTGTCATACTATGATTTGCCAATTTCTTTTTCCTCTTTTATCATTAATGTACCTAGGTTCCTGCCTGGTGGATTTGGTGATCCCCTGCTACTGGACATGGAAGCCCGTTATTCAAAAGCTTCTTCTATTCCGTCCACAACCATTTGAACCATTTGAACAGTTTAAGAACAATTTCAAAAAAACTCGCAACAGGCGCCAATAATCACTGGGTTAATTTCCTCTTCGTTGGCCGAAAGTTGACATTCAAGGTATTAAAGGTAATTCTACTGCTGGAATATGTCTGTTCATAACACCTGTTTCTTATCTACTATATACAACTGGAGGAAAGTTATATTGTACTCACAGAGGACAAATTTGTTTGGAACTAGAGGTCAGATATCTGACAACCAAGAGGAAAGTAACGCCGTAATGTATGTGAGTGAACTCAAAATTAGTTTCGAGAAAAAAAATTTACGGGCCCACCAGATTTGTTGTGGTTCCCAACAAAAGGAGCTTATACAAGATATATCGATACACTAGGTTAATAATAATATGCCAAGAGAGTTAACAGTAAAAACCCTTGGTTTTACTCGCAGACAGACACCTAGGGTTTTTACTGTTAACTCTCTTGGTATATTATTATTAACCTAGTGTATCGATATATCTTGTATAAGCTCCTTTTGTTGGGAACCACAACAAATCTGGTGGGCCCGTAAATTTTTTTTCTCGAAACTAATTTTGAGTTCACTCACATACATTACGGCGTTACTTTCCTCTTGGTTGTAATCATCACATATGTTGGTACCATAGAAAATGAGGTTTTTATTTTGTCTTCACAAAAATCACTGAATATACGTCACGCAATAGAAAATTCTGGAGAAAAGGCACAAAAGCCCCAAAATAGGGAGATTAGGTATGCATGGTATTGTTCAATCATTTCTTGATTACTAAATACGCATTAAGATGTTTTAAAGACTCAGTCAGTCAGCTACAACGTAGGACCAGGCACATATGTGCATCGGTCCAGGTTGCCATACCGCATCAGCACAACAAGATGAACACCGGATTCATAGCAGTGGTTATGTCAAAGGTGGTAATATATAAGAGAAAGATTGCATATAGAGATATAGTACAAGAAGAAAGAATTGGTTCGTAGAAAGAAAGATATGAAGCGATTTTAATCTCTTAGTTTAAGGGAAGACAGGGAGTGTATACACCGACGCCATTGTGATCGATTCTGAGCCATGTCACCAAGAGTCTCCAACCATTGGTTACGAAAGTCACGCGGACCCCAACCAAGTAGTCTGCATCTACCAACATGGCTCAGACTAGAAGTTAGTGACTTCAAGCACTGATGCCACGTTTTGGTTTGGCCGCCCCTAACTTTCTTCCAACCATCTCCTACACCGGATAGCATTGCACGTCGTGGTAATCGGTGTTCAGGCATACGTAACACGTGGCCCAACCATCTCAGTCGATGAAGATTCATAACCTCATCAACTGATTTACCATCATTCCCTAATACCCTGCGTCTAACCTCACTATTACTTACCCGGTGATCCCAGCAGACGCCAGCAATATTTCTAAGGCATCTGTGGTCAAATACTAGTAGCTTACGAGTGTCTTCTACTCTTAATGGCCATGTTTCGCTGCCGTAAATTAAAACAGAACGGACTGCCGCGCAGTATACTCGTCCTTTTATTGATAGACGGATATCTCGCCTTCGCCAAAGGTGACGTAAGTTGGCAAAAGCCAAACGAGCTTTTCGAATCCGTGCTGAGATTTCGTCAGACACCAACCCATTAGGGCTGATCAGACTTCCAAGATAAGTGAAGTTGTCAACGCGTTCGACTACTTCACTCCCTATCCTTAGTTCAGGTGTTGACGCAGACCAGTCCTGAAGCAACAACTTGCATTTAGAGGGAGAGAAGCGCATTCCAAACATTCTGGCATTGTTGCTTAGTGCTACCAGAAGACTCTGCATTTTGTCAGCGTCTTCACCAAACAGGACTATGTCATCTGCGTATTCTAAGTCGATAAGTGGACCTCCTGGAAGGAGATCAATACCCGAGAATTCAGTCGACGAGAAAGTTATTTCCATCAGTAGGTCTATGATGAAGTTAAACAAAAATGGGGAAAGTGGACAGCCTTGACGGACACCACTTGAGGTTGCAAAAGTAGATGACAGTTCGCCATAAGCTCTGACTCGACTAGTAGTGTTCGAGTAAAGAGCCTTCACAAGGTTTATGTACTTCTGAGGTACGCCTTTCAATGACAGACACTGCCACAGAATCTCGCGGTCTACAGAGTCAAATGCTGCTTTTAAGTCAAGAAAGACCACCATTGTCGGACGCCGATAAGTATGCCTGTGTTCTAGAACCTGACGAATGGTGAATATGTGGTCGATGCAGCCACGACCAGGTCTAAAGCCAGCTTGGTTCTCTCGTGTTTGCAGTTCACGAGTCTTAGTTAGGCGTTTGATAATTATCGAGGCTAGTATTTTAGATACTATATTTGTTAAACTAATCCCTCTGTGGTTGTCACAGGATGATTTTGACCCTTTCTTATATATTGGGACGATAAGTGATTGTGACCAGTCAGATGGGATAACGTCTAACTCCCAGATCTTAGCTAAAATATTAGTCAACCTAATCGCTAAAATTGGACCACCATCCTTAAAGACTTCTGGAGCCAGTCCATCTGGACCAGCTGCCCTTCCTCGTTTCAGATTAACTATAGCCTTTTGAACTTCAGCAAGAGTTGGGGGACCTACTTCAATGTTCCATTCACCTGTCTGGGAATGGAGGGTAGTTGTAGAGTAGCTGAAGGCCAGCTGAACTGTTCTCTGAAATGTTCCGCCCATCGTTCTAAACGTCTGGACTGGGAGCAGATGAGAGTATCGCCTTTTTCCGAAATAATCTCACTTACACTTGACTTATTAATTCCAGTTTCTTTTATTAGTCTGTAAAGCTGTCTTGTGTTCCCTATAGTCGCCGCCTTTTCCATCTCTTTTGCTTTCGTTGCCCACCACTGCTCACGGTCGTTCCTTAGACTTTTTCTTAACCTAGATCTGATTTGTTGTCGCTCTTCATCATGTTCAGAACCTGATGGGACGAGTTTGCGAGAATCCATCAGTGTGACAGACCTTGAAGAAATCCACTGGTTCCTTGTAACTCTGTGGTTTAAGTCACTAATAGATGTCACTGCTGTTTCCACAGCTGCTTGTATGCCTTCCAAGCAACATCTGGGTCAGCCTCGTCTTCACAACTACCTAAGTGTGACCTCAGTTGTTCCTGGAACCTACTTTTGGTTTTCTCGTTACTCAACTCAGTTCTAATGGGTCTTTTTAATGTGGCTTTTTTGCGTCCAGTGAGGCGCAAGCAGATGCGTGCCCGTATTAGGGCATGGTCGGAGTCCAAGCAGGTACTCCAGAATGAGCGACAATCTTCTACCGACCCTCTCCAACGATGACTGATGGCAATATGGTCTATTTGAGTCCATCGTTGGTTTGGTGTAGGGGGTCGCCATGTTAGACGATGTCTCTCCTTATGCTTAAAATTTGTGTTTGCTAAAAATAAACGATTGTCTGAGCATAGCTGCAGCAGACGATCACCATTATCTGTTCGCTGTGTCGGAATACTAAAATATCCACCTAAATGCCTTTCTGTTTGGTTTAAACTACCTATCTGAGCATTAAAATCACCTGCTACGAGTACTATGTCTGAGCGTTTAGCTTTCTGAAGAAGTTCGGACAGCTTTCTGTAAAATTCATCTTTCACTTCATCTGAGCTGCAGTCAGTGGGAGCGTAGGCAGAAACGACAAAAAGGCAACGACGTGTGTCCCTATCCTTCCGAGTTCTTACGTAGCCGTTCAGCCGAACAGCACATAGACGACTGTTGACGGGGATCCACTCTAGCAGTGCTTGTTCGGCCCTCATGCTTAGTGCTATGCCTACACCTGCCAGTCCACGAGAACTTGCCATCGGGTCACCAGATACACGAAGGGTGTATCTCGTTGGCTCTCCGTCTTGCCGAGGTGAGGTCAAGTGAATGACCACACTGGAATCCTGTATGCGTGTTTCGGAGACACAGCATACATCAATGGAAAGAGACTCTAGGGTTTTAGCCAAGGAAGCCTGCTGACCGATTTGACATAGGGTGCGTACGTTGAAGGCTCCAATGTGTAGTTTGGAGCGAGGTTTCAGTAGACCTGGGACAGTGTTTTGAGCACTAGAATCGTTGGCTATGGTGACACTTGAGGAGGAAGCCAAAGAGGAAGTTTAGAGTTGAAAGTCGATGTAGGAGGAATAATAGGAATTGAAGAGGAGGTTGATTATGAATACAGTGGTCTTGGGTGCTGTTAGAGGTATGAGGGCGGTTATCACTTCCCGGTTGCCCACACCGTGGAAGGGTTCTTCTGGAGGTACCTGAAAAGGAAATTGGATTAGAGGTGGTCTCAGTGACCTGAGAGCGTGACCGCAGTGCCCAAGGGACAACTGCTTGAGGCCGGTCGCGCACGGCCTTTTCGTGAGAGGTTTGTGACGTGTTAGCTCCGTTCTTCAAAGGGCCTTACCGCCGGAGACGGAAATCCGTGAGGTAAGGCAGCATCGCTGTCATGCTGGTTGTCTGAAGGAAACACCTTACTGCTGTCACACCTCTGTACAGTCAGCAGTACGACTTCGCCTTCGGACCTTGGGTTTGTTGCTTTTAGTCTTACCGCTCTTCAACCGACCTGTCTGACATGGTAGGACCTTGAGGAACGGTTGTTCCAGCTAGTATAGCTCGGTTGCTTCATCACGATAGGCAAGCCCGACCACCCCGTCAAGGTAGCGACAACGGTCGGGGTTTTAAAGACTCAGGAAATGTTATCAAAACTTCATTCCCTATCCATCTATATTTACCAACGGATTGTTTGCAGAAACAATACATGTCATCTTTTCTGCGAATACTTGCCCAACCTCCCAATTTTAGAGAAGGTGCACTAGAAAGTCTTGGGGAAATATAGCAAAAACTACGAAGTTCCCACTGGTGTAAAGTTTTCCCTCAAAATTTCAAGTTATATTGGAGTTTTGGGTTTTTCACAATATCTCCCCAGACTGGCGGGAACTACGAATTCTTATATGACTTTGGGGAGGAACCTGAAATTTCCCATACTTTCCCCGAAATTCGGAGATCGGACTGACATCGCACCATCTAGCGACAAACGGGTGGACGTGATTTCTAAGGTCCTTCTAGTCTGTAAGAAACTGTCAAGACCGACTGTTCGCTTGTAGATTTTTTTACTACTGTTTCTTAGACAAACTGTGGACTCTACCAGACGGAAATCCCTTTCACGACTCTAAGTATTTTTCAGTTTTTATGTACTCATTTAACGTTGTCATCCTTAAAATAAATTAGAAAAAGCCCTTTCATTCAAAATTAATTTTTTATTTATGTGGAACGGGTATACTTGTACTTAATTAAAGGCATAATCGTACAAATGTCGTTGGTGGCGCTGTAGCTTAATTACATCAGTAATTTACAATCAGACAGTGTAACGCCAGCGAAACCGGACGATGCCACAGGGTCCCCAGATAAACGCCCATAAAACAAGCCCTCTGGAGCGACAGATGGAGAGCGAATTCGTAGTACTTCACTAAAGTGTTGAATACGGGTCTCGGTCTCGAGTAGGCAACAAACGTCGATATTAAGACTTTCCAAAGACATAGCCAGCCCTATCTGTTGTCAGACCTGCATAATGTGCGAACATTGAAGACAACCTGTTTGAATGGTGCACGTGGTTTGAGAAAAACTGCTTCAGTGTTCGTATTTGGTGGCAGCATACAATTTTCAACCGGACAGTGACTCGAGAACGTTTAGATAAAACCGAGTTTTCACCATAGGCGAGCTGCTGTATAAATCGAAAAATAAGGATACATAAAGTGGGGATAAAAGAGAGTGAATAAGTGACGTAGTAAATAATAATAATACTACTACTAATAATAATAATATGAATTGTTTGACTGTAAATCGAAGGGAGAATAGAGTTCTCAGTACATACCATCATTTTCATTATATTTGTGTGTGGGCTGTGATAATGACCTGGTGCTCAGACCGAAGCAGGTGGTTTTTATAGTTAGCCACACCCTGAGCCTTTGACCTAAAGGTCTAACCCACATGGCAGTGGAGCAACGTAAGGAGATGCAGTCCCATGGAAGCCGGTGACCAACAATTGGTTCATACGCCATTTGTCCCTGCAGGATACTGGAACCCATGTGCACCATTGGTTTGTGATCCGCTTAAAGCGCCGGACATTCGCTTTTCGTCCTCTCATTTTCGTAAACAACACCCCCGCCACGAGAAGGCAGTGAGTAGGACTTCCCTGGCAGAGGCTGTATACGCGTAGCCGTGTGAGAGTTTTTCGAGCAGGAGGGCGGGCCCGCCCTTCTCCCGGTCATAACCAGGGCATTTGGGGGCTTTCATGCTTAAGATCGATACTTGTTGAAATGGTTGCTGGCCGGGCAGTCAGTCCGTAAAAACGTAGAACTTCGTACGTACGTACATCAGTTCGAGTTGCCACACCACATTATCACAGAGATGCAGTGGTCGATTCAAATCCCGTAGTAGTAGAGGTAATAAGAGTATAAGCAGTAATCGGGAAGATTAGTGTTTGGAGATGTTACTTAAAGAGTATAATACAGTGAAATAAATTTGGGAAGAGAAAAAAAGAGACAAGGAGGAATAAGGAGATCAAAATTTGGGAGAACACAAAGAGTGGATGCACCTGCACCATTGCAAACGATTTTGAGCCATGTCATTCAGGGTCTCTAACCATCGGTTGCTATCATCTGCTGGCCGGGCAAAAACCTTGCTGTTAAAACGACAGTTTCTAATCCTTCTGAACTCCGGTCAGTAAGACTTATCCATATCCTTAGGAAAACAACGAGATGTATTTTAAATCTGATTTCATCGAAAAATAAACTATCGTTCTAAATTCTGTGATATCATTTGCCCGAATGTCTTAATTGATTAGATAATTGTTGGGATATTCAGAAAAATATCCCAAAAATTATTCTGTTAAGTCTAACGCTATCCTTGGACTTGGGGTGGTGTCATTTCCTCATTGGTCAATATTCATTTAACGTGTCATTTTCTCACTGGTCATATTGTACAGTGTTATTTTCTATTTTATGGTACGATGTGGTTTGTTTGACTGGTATATAAACAAAGTATGTTTGAAATATAACGATTCATATCTCAGAGGCTAAGACTTGCGTTCTGGATTCAACTGGCTGGGCTAGACAGCGAAGCAGGGCCAATCGAGACTCTAGGTCGTTCGTTACGTGTCATTGATCCGATCGATAATACGCTGCTCCATAATCTGCAGTCACACACGCGTTACAACAATAATGTAGGCAACAACGAAGTACGAATTCTTTTACTTGGTTTGACTGTACTTTTCCTGTCTCAGTCATAAAAATCTAGTACTAGGTGCAAATGTACTAACCCAGTTTGTCACATTTTATATGAACATTGTAAAAGGAAGTTGTGATGCAAAACAAAAAAGCAGCTTTACTAGTAGTAGCAATAAGTATAAAATTTAAGTACAAATAATCCACTTTATTTAGCGAGTATCTTACGCCTAACCTCAGCATACAGTAACACTACCCTGCCTTATTGCAATCGACATTGGAACATATCCCCCTTTCAGATACTAAATGAAGTACTATTTATTGCATACTAGTGTTCGTCAGTTATTTGCTACGTAATATTGTCGAAATTCGGGCTTTTTTTATCTAGCTAACTATTGTTTTTTTATTGAACACCAAGTAAACAATGTCCATTTTTGACCAATTTCGAGATATTGAACCTGATCGCATCCGCAATAGCATAGTATCAATTATTGCAGGATTTTTATTTGCATTAGGCTGGTGGATAGCAATTGACGCAGCTGTACTTTTCGCTGAAAACAATTCTTTACCTAATGCATATCATACAGCTGGAGTATTCAGCACCATTGCTTTCATATTAATTAACAGTGTTCCTAACGGAGTGTAAGTTTTAACTATTGGAAATTAATGGTTTTCTAAAGTAGTTTTCATTTCGTAATGATTGTTTGAAATATGTGTAAACCATAACTAATTCACCAAATACAGGTTTTTCTAGCCGGATTGATATTTACTCGAAATAAACCTCGATTCCATACCTAACGTTTCCCTCATCATCATTTAGTTCAGTGAAACTGCTTACCCGAGACCTAATCTTAGCCATCTAAGACATGTAAGTACAGGTAGAAATATGTTTCCCCTCAGGTATATTCGTGAAGTTATTTAGCTGTTGAGAGCTTGAAAGAAACTGAAGCAAATTTCTGAAAACTTTGCCGATACATTTGGACTTTTGACTTCAGTCAACCATAACAAACTTAGTTTCATTTGAATCCACCGAAGCAAATTGGAATATGTTTTGCGACACTTAAGAGGGATTTTACAACACTTGAAACAGGTTTGAAAAGTCCTTTTTGGGGATTTATTTCGAATAAAGATCAGTTATATCATTTCTGTTACTTTACATATCACCATGAATATTTAAACTAATCTCTTTAGCAAATGTTAGAGTCGACATTGGAGATAAGGGTGACTGTTGACATACTCTTTTGTTGAAGCAAAGGATAATTGCCAACTATACGGATGCTACAAAACTGAGGCCAGACACATCTCATCCTGCAAATAAGTGACCTGGCACTGCCTCTCAGCAATAATCGACCATGCAAAGTTCGGTTAATGACATGTACTACTAAAATAACAACCGGAGTTAATGTGTTCGCAAAGCTCTAAAATATCATCAGGTACTGAGGTGATATAAGTAGATTATGTCTGTTAACGGTAATCGATGGATAAAATGTCAGGGGTCGTTCGTCATGTCAATACGGTGGTTGTAGCAAGAGTTTATAGTACCATACCCAGCGGCTATTGACTAGCAAGTCTCAAGGTTTGGAGCACCTAAGAAGTCATATTGACTTGGGGGTATTGTTGAGTATGTTCTGTTCGCTTATCCATTTAACTAGATTTGTGCAAATTTACTGCATTTTTACGACCTCTTTCCAATATTTCATTCCTGTCCCATTTATAACCAATATACTTTTCGTTCATCCTTAGTCACTGACACTATTCCAGTGCCTTACTCTTCATTATATTCAGGTCGTTCCGTGATTGATTTCCTTCTTATGAAAGACTTAGACATGGTTATTTTAATCCCTTGTGTCCTAAACGTACGGATTTCTTGCTCTAGTTGTTTAGTTTGCTTTGCCATTTCATATGGCTATTCATCAGTCATTGTTGCGATCATTTTGTGTTTGGTAGATTTCCTAGAGTAGGAAACGCTGGTTAAAGTACTACATTTGTGACAGTTGAGACGTCGCTGTTTTGGTCTGGATATTGCCGAATTTATTTAATGCCAACAATATTAATAACTTGAAGTTGTGTATATAAACGTACAGTCTATCTTAAGTGAGACGCTATAAATCGACTTATCAAACAATACCGAACAAGTTATATGGAAATACATCAAATATGTATGACTGTATTGTTTTAGATTTCAAGCTTGTTAGAACTTAACGCCGAGATTTTAGCTAAACACTTTATTGGGCTGTGTATGATACTACCACTGCGCGATTTGAACCAACGACTCAACCACCCAGTACGCAACAACATAGATTCGCATTACTTCCGGTAAGGGGAACTTGTACTCGGAAGTTATTTCCCGTTGTATACGATATTGATCACCTGTAGTTATTGAAAGAAATACTCAGGGTGTCGTGCAGAATCATTAGCCGTAAAGGCAAGTCTCAGGGACGGATATATCTAGTTTCTCCGCGATGTTGAAAAGCTATTCCTCTAAATGATTTTAGTCGAAAGTAGAATTCCTCAACATATCATATGGACACTAATTCTCATGTTGTAGATTTGCAGATTAGGTGGGTGCTTTTTGTGTTGTTGAGCTATCTGAGCTAGGTTACTCAATTGCAGAATTCTCATTACCGTTTTGGCTAACATCATCGGCTTTTACCTCAGGTAGTTCCAATTTGTGTTTAATTGTTAATATATGAAAAAGAACAAAGTAAACTTTACAAAAACGTAAGTGGCTATTAACTTTCCTCTTACCTTTTTTATTAGTTGAGAGATGAATTTTCAGACAGTCGTATCGGTCGTCGTGGAGCACTTATATGCCTATTTTTCGCTTTCTCAATGGCATTTAGTAGTACAATAGCTGCATGTTGGATACTATTTGGAGGTTATATCGCTGTAGATAAAACACCAGTATGGCCAGGTGTAGCTATACTATTACAAAATCTACTAATTTGTATATCGTCAATTTTATTCAAATTTGGCAGAAAAGATCTTAGTGATTTCTAATCTGCTCATTTTAAAAATATTATTGTCGCTTGATTGCTCACTCATTTATTGATTCATTTAATAACATTATCGTCATAGTATCAAATGAACAATGAATTCAATGAAAAAGCATTTCCTCATTTCATTTACTTCTTGAAAAAATATTTTTATTTTCCAATGAAAAAAAATTACTTCAAATAAAGTGTAAACGTTTTCGTTTTTATTGTAACTGTGTTTGTACGTGTGTGCAATTATGTGTTTGACATAATTAAACTTTAGTACCACAATTGAGAACATATCTATTGTATTCAATGAAACAACACATTCAATACATACAACATTCAATAATAGTCCTTTTCATTTTCGGTGGAAAACATAAAAATGCCTCTAAAATAAAAATAAAAAGTTTTAAATAAAAGTTAAGTAATGCGTGTGTCTGTGTGCGCATGCTCTGCTGTTATTTTATGAATGATTATTCCACTTACCTTGAATGGGATATTTTTTTCGGCCGAAAAATTGTTGTTCATTTTCTTCTGCAATACACTGAGGACGAATAATTCAATAGAAATGTAGGTAGATAACATTCAGTTAAGATGTTACATAAAGAAAAAAAATTCAGGTGTTTAGCGGCATTATATTTTCTTGCATTGTGTAGAATTTAGTATATTTCAGAAAAAGAGCTAAACGATATTCTTACAATACTTTGTTGTGAAGAGGAAAATAATACTTCTATAATGCCAGTCGACGAATACCAATCGCACAGGATACATAGTAATATGCTGAAGAGATTGATTTGTAGATTATGTCTCTGACAACATAGATATCTAGAGTAAACACTCGCAGTAATCCTATGTTGACCATATCACACAGATATCGCTGTTAGATTAAATATGGTTTAGAGCTGAGCACATAAAAACACTTGATGGATAAGTAGTCTCATGTAATAATGCCTTATAGATAGAGAAATAACTTCGCAATATATTTTGAACACATCTATCAAAAGTATAGGAGAATCCCGAGTGAAACTGTTTTACTGTTTTAACAATTTAATCAGCTTTTAAGATCGACAACGGAAATTCTAGTAGTTTTGAAGCAGTTCACAAATAGTGTCTGTCAACTTGAAATTCGTATGAAACGTGTTCAGATTGAAGTACGTTAAGCGCGATCTTCGAAATCATGGCCTATCGTTCGAAAATCATATGTTTCTTTTTAACAAATAAGAGCTATTAACATGTTAGAAGTATTTCTTAATTTGTTAGCTTTAGGTGAATAAATAGAAAAATCTTGATTTGTACCTACTTTGCCAGTTATCCAATCATCCCATATAGATGACAATCCTTGTTTCTGCTTCCTTAATAAGTCATTAGTTGAGCATATCAGCGTACGACCCTCTCCAAACATGTTTGTATACCAAAATTCCGTAAGCGAGTTCATAACTTCGTCTACCAAAGAGAATAGCGAATTTATCTAGATTTTAAATGTCATCAAGTATATAAAATCTGGCCATTAAGCCTACAATATGAAAGTTAATCCAAATATTTTATTAGGAAGAAACATACTCCGCGGCAATATGGTCTTTCTTTAGAGAAGAGGTTGCATAGAATGAAGTTGTTTAGAAAAAGCTAGGAAAATTATCTACGGTAACAGATAAAAAATGATTACATAAAAGTGCACCTTGTGACTGGGTATCACAGTGGACAACTATGACGACGATACAAATAATGTTTCAATGAATAGGAAATTAAATTTCTGACGTTTCGCTACCTAGTTAAAAGTAGTTTTTTCTTTAGGAAACAGCTGTTTTTTAGTTTAAAAAAATTGGAAATAGTACAAGAAACAAACAGATTAGATCGAATACTTAATGTATATAAATACGTCTGATCGCGCTAATGTCATTTTATACAGGTAGTCATGCAAGGTAGAACATGACAATGCATTGGTTCAACTTGTCATACCACATTAGCACAGCGAGTTAAAATCTCAGAGTAGTACAATCATTATCAGTAGTGAGAAAAGTATTTCGTGACTCAGGACTTAGAGTAACACGAACGTACTTAACGTTTACGATCGTCTCAAGAAGGCGATTCTTAGACATTTCCTCCCGTCTAGAGAGGGACGTTTAAAAACAATTTTAGCACGTCACATCCTGGGCGACGCTAAACAGAGCCACCACCTCACGCGCCTGCAATCTCTCGCAGGACATACGACAGCAGATTCTGAAATAGTTAAAGAATTGTGACTCGAATCCCTACCAGAAAGTATACAACCAACCGGTACGGATTTGCTCGAGGACACCCCACCTAACCAGGGGGCCCTCACAGCAGATAAGATACTGGCAAGGACCAGTATTCGAGACATCCCGTTCGAACGTAGACCTCTACGCTAGTCGCCTTTCGGCTCAAGGTGATAGGGGTGGTTGTATTCATACACATCTGAATTTCCGAAATCGTCCCGATATACCCGAACCCTACGTCCCTCAAGCCAGGTCACGCTCTCGTAAAGCCGTAACCACTCGCCCAGCGCGGGCATCTCCCAAGCCACGCCGAAGGGCTGCTTCGGAAGCGAGTGTGGGTTGGTGCTGGTTCCACCGTACCTTCTGGTCCGGTGCCTGTCGTTGTCGAGCCTCTTGCTCATACAAGGCGGGAAACTCCCGAACCGGAGAGTAAATGCAGCCATACTCGCCAGCCCCTCACCCCAGGTTGGCCGTTTATTTTATGTGCACGATTATCGCACTAACGCTAGGTACCTAGTCGGTACAAGTGTCCAAGTTTCTGTTGTACCTATTGGTAACAGTAAGTCACAAGCTACGATGCTTCGACTACGCGCTGCTAATGGTATACGACAGCTCACGGTCAACCTGGGCAACCGATGACAGTATCCGTGGACGTTCATCACTGCCGATGGTCTCACAGCCATACTCGGTATTGATTTCCTACAGCACTATGAATTACTAGTCGGTTCACGTAGGCTGCAGCTAATCGATACTTCGTCGAACAGTAAATTCATGGGCTTTAGAACTCAAACAAACGCGTACCTAATCTTAGGCGTATTTCATTCGCGTGGCGATATATTCCACGCTTTATTTCAGAAACTAACTAAACCTCTTGAGGAGATCCCATCAGTATGGTACACCACATAGTCACCCGGGGACCCGCAGTCACAGCAAGACCACACCGACTGGCACCTGCCAACTTAGATTTCGCTAAACGTGAGCTTGACAATTTACTAGCTACTGGTATTATTCGTCCTCCTCACAGTCCCTGGGCCTCACCTCTTCACATGGTGCGCAAAAAGGATGGGGTTAGTTGAAGAGCATGCGGCGACTACCGAGCATTAAGCGTAGTTACACACGCTTTGATAGCTACCCCATCTCCCACATACACGGCATCACTCAAGGGCACGACTATCTTTTCTAAGACCGATCTGGTACGAGCATATCATCAGGTCCAAGTCGCTCTTGAAGACATCGACTCCTTTCAGTCTGTTTGAGTCCCTACGAATGCCATTTGGATAACGGAAGGCTGCTCAAACTTTTCAAAGGTTTATCGATAGCATAGTACGAGACTTAGATTTTGTTCACGTCTATATTGATGACCTACCTGTTAATTGCATCATCAAACGTAGATGAACATTATCAACACCTAACATTCCTATTCCAGCGCCTTTTGGACAGTGGAATGACAGTCAACCCGGACAAGTGTGAACTAGGCAAACCAGAAATAAAATTCTTAGGTCACATTATTAAGCAAGAGGGTATTTTACCTTGTGAGGACAAAGTACGTGCAATAATGGAGTACACCGTGCCATCCACACTCAAAGAACTGAAGGCATTTATCGGTTTGGTTAACTTCTACCGACGTTTCATCACACACGCGGCAGAATGGTTACGACCATTAACCGACTTACTTCGCGGTAATCCACGCAAATTGGAGTTGAACGATACCGCGCTTACTGCATTGTCAGAGACCAAAACGGCTCTGGCTCAAGTCACACTCCTTGGCGAAAGCTGGCCTGGTCACCCACGCTCTTGTCAACGCACTCAGTCGATGTTCTGGCTACGAATATGTCTGGTTTCTTGGCTCAATGTGGTTCCATCCTACGTCTGCATTACTTTCTGGTCCGGACCCCTACGAACGCAATCCTCGGATTCTGGATACAAACCACTCTGATGTAGTACGCTAATTCGAGCAATAAATACATCACGTTCCTCCTGGTACTGTTCTACGTAAAAGACCTTCGGTGGCAACACGAGGATCAACGACTACTTCCTGTTCTGCCAACCCTTTCGTCCTACAACCACACGTTTGCCGATAAGTCCCACGAACGAAACCGCTACGTATCGAAAGTGTAAACCCTTTCTAGCGGGGGGCTCCTGTAATGACCTACTTTTATGAAGAGAACGCGATTGGCATAATGGAAACAATTATTATTATAACCAATTGTGCCAGTGATTGTTTTACTGTATTTGCTTGTTTAAGTGTACTAAACACACACATTCCTCCGTTAACTGTGACCTTGCGCGAACTCGGTTACGCTCAGTACTTCCACTTGTATTCTTTGGCACGATCTCAGTACTCTTTCGATACCACGAGATTGCTAACAAATATATCTTATTACAACCGTTAGCTGCCTTCTGGTTTTTGACATACGAAGGGATCCAACCTAATAACTGGCACGTAGTCTCAGTGTAGTGGTGATCATAGTCAACCGCGACTCGACGCCACGCTACAACGCTACAGTTCGAAAATAAGAGATGAAATAATCACAGAATAAAAAGAATGAAGTCATACTGGAACGCAGAATTTAAGGGAAGGTAAAATGGATGCAGTTGTATCACTCTCACCGATTTTGAGCTATGGACTGCTCGAGGCCTCCGATCATTGATCGGAATTATCAAATAAACTTCAACCGGGTAGTCTACACATTAGACTTACAATTATGCCTAACACATGTACCAGTCACCCCGGTCGATAAGAACGCATAACCGATATAACACATTTGCTTAGTATCCTATGCGTAAC